GAGTACATTCAATATTTCAACACCACTCCCACCACCATTATTATTTTGTATTGTTTGTTATGAATAGTATGAGATGTCTGTAAGGGTCTGTCTCTGGTTCAATAAAAAAGAGAAGGGGGGGATTTAAAGCCTAGACAAGTAGTTTTGTCACAGAGCTGGTAAGTGGCAGATCTGGAATTCCTGAGTATGGAGTCTTGCCCTAGAAATCAGGCTTTTCCAAGCACTCACTGAAATGAAGTGAAGGGGAGAGTGTGAGCAGGTCTCTGGAGTGTCTGGGCCTGACTCACGCCTGCTGATCCTACACAAGCTGCTTAGCTCCGCCAGGCTTTTCCTCTCCTGTGAGGAACAAAGTCTGAAATACCTGCCTGTGGCTGAACTCTGCTTCTTCATTTGCAGTGTTATTAATACCCTAGGAACTTGAAGATCTTAAAGATCGTTCCAAGTTTTGTCCCAGTAAAATAGTGCAGGGCTTAGAAAATTAGTCACATGCTCAGAAGTTCAAATCCCATGTCCCACATGCACTGAACGTGATCCAATGCTTGGCTGGTTTGAGCCTGTAGCTTAGTGCACTCTCATCCCTGTGCTGTTTGGGGCTTCACTGTAGCCTGGTGCTTGTAAACACAACAGAAAAAAGATGTGCTGCACTAGTGATAGGAGTGACCATGAGGTGGGTCCAGCTAAGAGGGCGAGCCTCCACCGTCAGTTTAGACAATAGTGAAGAGTGCAGTTTTTAAGTTTGAATGATATTTGAATTCTCAAAAACATCTTGGAAAAAAAATACATTAAACCTAAGAAATGAGGGGCTAGAGCAATAGTACTTCCTTGAATGCAGCAAACTCGGATTCATGCCCAACATCACTTATGGTTCCCTGGTCCCCAAGCACCACAAAAAAAAAAAAAAGCAAGATCTGATAAATGAGGGCCCAGTGGCTCAGTGGTAGAGCTCCCTGCCTTGCATGTGTGAGGTCCTGAGTTCCATCTCTGCGTCCACCACCAAGCGTCCCAGTGACTCCAACAAACAATGTGTGTGTGTGTGTGAGACACCTGGAGCACAGCCAGCTTACAGGAATGGGGGAGTAGTCAGAGAAAGTATGGAGAAATCTAGTCATCCCCATAGGCTTCCTCTACTCTGTCCCAGGCACCTTCTGGTTTCAGAGTTGATGGTGAAGCAGTTTTTCTTTCCTTTAAGTACCTACTGCAGTGTCTTCAGATCTGTAGAAATTGCTGGCATGTTAGATAGAGCTGCTGCTTTCAATGCCCCTTTGTGCTTACCCAAAGCTGGAATTTGACAAAGGCCACCCAAGCTACTTGATTGCCTTGTGGTGAATGTTAATCATTGAGCATAGGAATTCTGTGCACGAAGTACTTGGCCCCATGCTGACTTGCCGCTCCTTCCCACTGTCAAACTGAATGCTACCAAACCCCACTCTCCTCCCTGTAAAGCTTTCAGGGTGGAAGAGGGAGGTTGGGTTTTTGACTACTCAAACCTTTGAGTTAGCCAAGAATATTCTGGGGTGGGAGTGGGGGGTGGAGCTCAAGACTTATTCCTGGTTCTGTGCTCAGGCATTACTCTTGTCAGGGCTCTGGGGACACTACACCCTGTGTAGATGAAGCCTGGATGACAGTTTGCAAGGCAAGCACCTAGACTAACCTATACCATCTCTCAAATTACAAGATATTTGAGGGGGGGATGTGGATTGGAGGGGGTTGGGTATTGGGGTGGACCTGGTGATGCTCAGGGGTTACTCCTGCTTTACACTCAGAAGTTACTCCTGGTGGTGGTCGGGACTTTGTGCTGGGGATCAGACCTAGATTAGCTGTATGCAAGGCAAATGCCCTCTCCACTGTACTATTGCTTTGGCTCCTCTAATCCCCAGATTCCTGATTTTTTTTGGTTACCAGATATCAGAGTTGAAACCTCAAATGATACATTACCTTTTTGATTTAAAACGATTGAAGGGCTGGAGTGATAGCACAGCGAGTAGGGCATTTGGCTTGCATGCGGCCGACCCAGATTCGATTCCCAGCATCCTATATGGTCCCCCAAGCACAGCCAGGAGTAACCCCAGTGCATCAGTGGGTATGACCCAAAAAGCCCAAAAAAATTTTTCTTTTTGAATTTTGGGGGCTGGTGAGAGTGTAATGGGCTGAGCACCTCTCTAGTACCACATAGTCTCCTGGGCATCATGGGATTTAAGCTTTTAAATCAGGACTTGCTGTTCAAGCCCATGTTCTCCCTTGATAATATGTTTCTTGCTTACTTGTCTGTTTCTTTGCTTATTTCCACTCTGGAGAAGTATTTTCTCTCTCTCTCTCTCTCTCTCTCTCTCTCTCTCTCTCTCTCTCTCTCTCTCTGTCTCTCTCAATTGAATCACCTTGAGGTACACAGTTAACAAGGCTGTCCACAATTGGGTTTCAGTTATACAATGTACCAACACCATCCCTCCACCAGTATACATTTCCCACCACCAATGTCCCCAGTTTCCAGTTTCCCTTCCACCACCCACTGTCACTACCCAGCCTCTCTCTGGTAGGCACTTTAGGTTTTTAGATTTTTTTTTTCTTTTTGGGTCACTTCCAGAGATGCTCAGGGACGTTACTTCTGACTCTGCACTCAGGAATTATTTCTGGCAGCGCTCGGGACAGGGACCATATGGAATGCTGGGGATTGAATCTGGGTCAGCCACATGCAAGGCAAATGCCTTCCCTGCTATACTATCACTCCCACCCCAGGCAGGCACTTTCCTTCTTTCTCTTGCCTATGTTCTTTGGAACACACCCTTCTCTCTCCCATCACATCTGTTTCAATAAAAACTACTGGGGACCCGAGAGATAGTACAGTGAGTAGATGCTTTCTTTCCTCTAAGCCAACTCAAGTTTGATCCCCAGCAACCCCTAGGGAACCTCCAGGCACCACAAGAAGTGGTTTCAAGTGCAGAGTCGAGTAACCCCTGAGCATCACTGAGCGTCGCCCAGAAAGCAATACACACAAACTACTTGTTTTACTTAAAAAACCAAAAGTATAGGGGCTGGGGCGATAGCACAGCGGGTAGGTCGTTTGCCTTGCATGCGGCCAACCCGGGTTGGCCAGCATCCCATATGGTCTCCTGAGCACTGCCAGGGGTAATTCCTGAGCACAGAGCCAGGAGTAACTTCTGTGCATCACAGAGTGTGACCCAAAAAGGGGGGGGGGGAAGTATAGGGGCCAGAGTGATAGTACAGTAGGTAGGGTGACCTGGCAAGCAGCTGACCTGGGTTCAACCCCTGGTATCCTTGATGGTCCCCTGATTACCATCAGGAGTAATTTCTGAGTGCAGTCAGTAGTTTAACCCCTTGAGCATAGTCTGGTGTGGCTCTCTGCAGAATATGCTCAAAAAAAGACTATGCTTTAAAAAAAAATTTAAAAAAACACAAAAGTATATCAGGGAGGGCCAGAGGGATAGTGCAGCGTTAGGGCACTTGCCTTGCACACAGCTGACCTGGGTTCAATTCCTGGTATCCCTTATGGTACCCTGATTACCATTAGGAGTAATTCCTGAGTGCAATCAGTAGTTAACCCCCTGAGTATAGTGTGATGTGGCTCCCTCCCCCCCCACCAAAAAAATAGTATCAGAATAAAGAAACTCAATATCAAGATAAGAAAGGAAGAATATAAATGAAGGAAGAAGGCTATGTTCAGTTTGGTTTATGTAACCAGAAGGAGCCCAAAAGGAGCTTTGGAGGCTACCATACTCCCATCTCAGTTCTTCATGTTGCTGGAGACAAGCTATTTCATCACTTTTTTTTTTTTTTTTTGCCTTTTTGGGCCACACCTGAAGATGCACGGGTCACTCCTGGCTTTGCACTCAGGGATTACTCTTTACGGTGCTCAGGGGGCCACATGGGATGCTGGGAATCAAACCCGGATCGGCCGCATGCATGGCAAACACCCTACCCCCAGTACTGTTGCTCTAGCCCCCATTCATCACTTACTGTAAATAACAGTTCCCCTCAGACCTACCATAAATCCCTGTAATGTATTGTCTTCCAGTTGCAATAAAAATGAGTTGCATCAATCAAAGGGGAGGAACTTGGAGAAGTAGTACAGGAAGCAAGTCTTTGCACTTCGCCAACCTGGGTTCCATCCCCAGGACTGCAGAGGGTCCCAAGTGCACAGCCATAAGTCAGTCCTGAGCTCTGTCAGGTGTGATAACCCCTCCAAAAAAAAAAAGCCCTTTTGTTATCTTACGAGTTTGGTGCCATGTGCATCAAATAAGAAAGAACGAACAACAAAGCGTTCGTTTAGCCATGTATGTCTGAAAGAAAATTGCTCTCAATCCAATATTTTTGAGAATCTTCACAACAGAACTGAACTTTTTAGGCTCAGGGAAATGGCTCAGAGGGCTGACGGCGTATACTCTACGTACAAGAGTCCCAGGTTCGATCCCCATAAGCACCATCTTCTGTGGACCCAAACCCCAAACGAACAAAACTGCTCTTCTGGAATCTGAGAGTTTAACAGACACTTCAGAGTGACAAAAAGACAACAAAACACTCGAAGGGTTGGACTGGAGCGGGCAGGACGCTGTCCTTCCACGCGGCCTACCCAGGTTCGGTTCGATCCCCGGCACCAACATACGGTACTCTGAGCGCCCCCCTCCCCCGAAACAAGTACTGAGCGCAGAGCCAGGAGTAAGCCCTGAACACAGCCGGGTATAGCCCCCAAACAACCATTCTGAGGGGCATCCATGAAATTCCAATTCCTCTAACCTTCCCGAGTCGTTTTGAAGGTCGCCTTTAGACCTTAACTCCAAGTCCATTGAGTTGAACTGGTTGGTAGGAGGGGTTAGGAGGAAAGCTGCACGTAAGTCTTAGCTTGGCTCTGTCCAGAAGGGAAAGCAATCACCACCAAGTTCCTCCCCAAGCCCCGCGCTGGTGAGGGGAACGGTCTCTTTAAGAGCTGGTGTTCTTGCCCCGCCCCTTAAGGGTATCAGCTGACGCGCCCGGTCATGTGACTCGCCTGTGCCCTAGGCACTCGGAGGCAGGGGCCGCATGCGCGGCTCGGAGACGCCGGGCTGGGGTTGGGGGCGCCGTGCCCCCAGCCCCGGGCTCGTGCTCAGTCTGCTGCTGTCGGCCGTGCCCCTTGGGCTACTGGGAGAGGAGACCCGCCAGGTGAGGGCTGGTGTGCTCTAGGGTTTGCGTAAATGCTGCCCCGGCGCGGGTGCGGGGTGGGATCGGGGTGACGAGGAGCCTGCGGAGATCATTCCCGGGCTTGGGGGCGGACGTCCGTCTGGGACCAACGGTGGGAGGGCTTCCGGCTCCCGACCAGTCTTGGCTGTTTTGTTTTCTCCCAGCTCCGTGACCTGATCTTCCCAATGAGTTCTGGACAGGCCTGGGCCTGCCCACTCCTTTACCACCTCTTCTCTGCCCTTTACAGGATCTCCATGTGCATGCTGGCGTAGGGCTCCGAGCACCCACCCTCTGCCAGGATTTCCCAGCCCCCCACCGCCCCAAGCAGCTCTTAAACCCAGTGTCACCTCCATATCCTGTTGCTCTGATTCTCAACGCTTTCTGTTCTAGGTCTTTATGGAGGTCGTCCCTGACTGGATGGACCCTCCGCAGAACTTACTCCATATCCGGGCAGTGGGCACCAATTCCACGCTGCATTATGTATGGAGCAGCCTGGGGCCGCCATCTGTGCTGTTGGTGGCCACGAACACCCCCAACAGTTCGCTCAGAGTCAACTGGAGCCTCCTCCTCTCTCCCGAGCCAGAAGGGGGCCTGATGGTGCTCCCTAAGGACAGTATCCGCTTTTCTTCTGCAGTTGTCTTTACCAGGGTGAGAGAAGGTGGGGGGGAGCACCCGCACATAAAGAGGTCAGGTGAGACTTGGGGGACAGAGGTTGGGGGAGTGGAGGTGGGATGGAGGCTGATATGGTCTGTGATTCAACAGAAATCTGGGGCCAGAAAGCAGAGTACAGCAGAAAAGGTGCTTGCTTTGCACACAGCTGACCCCAGTTTGATGCCCAGCACTTTATAGGGTCCCAGACCCTCACTAGGAGTAAGCCATGAGCGCTGCCTGATGTCCCCCAAAACAAAACAAAAAAAAAATGAAAAGAAAACTGGACACAGGCAAACCCAACTCCCTCCTCCACCAGCTGTTTGAGTTTGACGTCACCAACATCTCCGAGTTCACAAAGCCCCCTGGGAAGTCGTATCCGCCATACTCCTTGGCCAAGTTCTCCTGGAACAACATCAGTGACTCGCTGGATGTGACCACCCTGAGTGCCACGTTTCAAGGCTGTCCCACAAATGATTCCACAGGGGCATTTGCCAATGGCAGTCTGACCTTCAGGGTAAGGGTGTGGGGACCCCAGTGAAAGCTGATGTCTGTTGACAAGGGAGGTTGTGATGAATGGGGGTGGCCTGCAGCATGCACAGGCTGAAGCCTGCCACCCCCCACCTCCACACACAACTCATGTGTCTCTGGGCTCTTAGGTGCAGGCCTTCTCCAGATCCGGCCGACCTGCCCAGCCTCCTCGCCTGCTGCACACAGCAGACACCTGCCAGCTGGAGGTGGCCCTGGTCGGAGCCAAGCCCCGGGGAAACCACTCCCTGTTCGGGCTGGAGGTGGCCACTGTGAGCCAGAGCCCCGACTGCCCATCCATGCAGGAGCGACACTCCATTGATGATGAGTACACCCCTACTATCTTTCAGGTCAGCCTGCCAGGGGGTAGGGGGTAGGGGAGCAGAGGAGGATATGCTGCTAGGACCCCAGAAAATCACACTTTATTAGGCCACACTTTATCCAGCTCCTTAAAGTGCTGAAGAATGTAGTCCAGTCTCCACCCTCGGTGGAAGGGACAGGTGGACAAGAAAGGAGGCAGGAGCAAATGAGGGGGCCCACTCAGCAGTTGGAATCTGAAACAGCTTAGGGCCCCCAGGAGCCAGCGAAATGCAGACTTCCATCTGGGGAACCAAGAGACAGGATAGTGGGGAAGGCACTTGCCTTGCGTTGTGATGATTGACCCAGGTTCAAATCCTGGTACCCCATAGGATCCCCTAAGCCCCACCAGGAGTGATCTCTGAACATAGAGCCAGGAGTAACCTAAGCCTTGTGATCCAAGCAACCCCCCTACCCCCCAACCCACACACACTCAGAGAAAAAAAGCAGAGCTGGGAAAAGACCAGTTCCCCTTTGTGCAGGGGCGAGATTGTGGCCCTGGTGGAAACAGCTTGTGAGTTCTAGAACCAGGAATACCAGGTGGAGGTAGAAAAGGGGAGGGACGGGATGGTGGATAGAAGGCTCAGGCACAGCTTGGTCTTCTCACCAGCTTTTATCATCTTTCTCCTCAGTTGGACCAGCTCCTCTGGGATTCCCTCCTATCTGGTTTCGTTCAGTGGCGCCCTGTGGCTTTCTCCCAGAAACAGAGAGGCCGAGACTCAGCCCTGTCCTGCCAGACATCCCCTGTGTACCATCCTGAGGAGTACCTCCTTCCTCAGTCACCCATCGTTCGAGCCTTCTTTGGGTCCCAGAGCAACACATGTGCCTTCAACTTGACATTTGGGGCTGCCACAGGCCCCGGCTACTGGGATCAATATTACCTTAGCTGGTGAGTCTGGCTGGGCCCAGGTTGGGAGACCGTTGGGAAGGAGAGTAGGGCCAGCTTACGTCTCTTTCTCGCCCCCACCCACTCCAGGTCGATGATTCTGGGTATGGGCACCCCACCGGTGGACACCTTGTCCCCACTGGTCCTGGGCATCATGGCAGTAGCCCTGGGAGCCCCCACGCTTATGCTCCTGGCAGGAGGTCTATTTCTTCTGCTGGGTCCCAAGCGGTACTCGGAATACCAGCCCATAAATTGAAGCCCGTCGGGGGTCTGAGAGAGAACACAGCGTTGAAGGCACTTGGCTGGTATGTAGACAACGTGAGTTGGATCCCAGCACTGTGTAGGATGACCGAGCACCACCAGGTGTGATCTCTGAATACACTGCTGGGTGTGGCCCAAACATGAGAAAGAAATTGGAAGCCCGTCTTCAGGCTGGACATTGCTGAATCTGCCTGGCTGCACCTTGAATGTGCATATTTGAGGGACAGCAGGTTCCCCACTCCCCTGTCAATTCTGTGCAGAACTTCAGACCAGCCTCAGTGTTAACTGTTCTGGAGGGAGGACCCCTCTGTTGCCTCCCTGCTCCTCATCCTCTGCTTCCCTCGGACCACTCCTGAAAGAGAAACCTTGGCTGCTGGGCTGCCCTGGAGGAAATGAAATACTTATTTTTTTTCCACAGACCTTGTCTCTTGGTGTGTGAGTGGGCTGGGCTGTTCTTGGGCTGTGTGTGTGTGGGGGGGGGGGGGGACAGAGGGGGGGGCTGCAGTGGAAGGTACCTTTCGGGTTGTTGCTGCGCTTCCTTTCCAGGCCTGGTTCCCGCCCTTACCATGGGACCAGGCTTCTGCCAGACAGGAAGCTGGGAATTTTTGGGTGCCAACTGGACAAGGAAGGGACACTTGAGATGGTGCAAAGGAAAAGCAAGCCAGGAAGGCTGGTAGTCATTTATTGTGGCACACATACACATCCCGTATATCCACCCCAGACCCACTGGGGAGACAGGTTTCCCTCTCTGCCCTTTGCCCAGGCGCACTCTAGAGGTGGCACATTCCAGGCGCCTTAAATTCATTGGAAAGGAAGAGGATACTGAGCTGTCCTAGGCAGCTGGAATGTCTTGTGGAAGAGAAAAGGCCCAAGGAGGGGCCGGTGCTGGGGGGATCCAGAGCCCATGCTTTGGATCCTCCCTAAGGTGAAAGTACTGCTTGGTTTGATGTCCAGATTCTTCTCTTTCGGCCTTGTTCATCGTTCCAGTCTTCCCCAGCACCTCTGCCCATACACCCGCCCAGGAATAACCACCATAGCTAGGGGCTGCCCGCTGCTCCTAGAAGCTGGAGATAGGCGTCTGAGCCCACAGTGCTGAATACCCCAGGGCAAAGTGGGAAGGAGGCTGCTACCGGGCTGCCCCGGAGGCCTGTGGGACTGACTCCTCCATCTCTGGCTGCAAGAAAGTCTGTTCCCGCCCTGCCGGTGACAGCAGCTGTGGGACTCATCTCCACTGAGATTTCCTGGACTGGGTGCACAGGACAGGGTGGCTCAGCCCCAACGGTGGGGCCTATAGTCTCGGGCGTGGTCTGGGTAATCTAGGCGGCTCTCAGCCGTGAGCATGCGTTCAGGCTCCACCACGAACATGTAGTAGAGATTCCACACAAGCATGGACAGTAAGGGCAGGAACGTGAGACCGTAGCCAAAGCCTCGGAAGGAGCGGCCCACTGCGAAGGTCAGCCAGTAAATCAGCCTGGGGAGGCAAGAGAAGGGTCAGGGGAAGTTAATTAGCTGGAGGCGATAGGTGCTAGAGAGATCACGCACACTGTATGTACAGCAGTGCCAGGGTACCCACAGGTTTCTCCTGCTATCCAACATCCCCATAGCATGTGATATGAATCAGGGATATGGGGGTTGCAGCTTTCCCACACCCCCAAAATAACCTACCAAGGGGCTGAAAGGGCTCAGTGGTAAAGCACATGCCTTGTATGCATGAGGCCTCAGGTTTGAGGCCCAGAATTATAAAAATAATTTGCCCAAGGGGGATAGTACATACAAGGATAATACAAGGGGGTAGGGTGCTTTCCTTGCATGTGGCCAACCCAGGTTGAATTCCCAGAACCCCATCTGGTCCCCTGAGCCCCACCAGTAGTGATTCCTGAATGCAAAGCCAGGAGTAAGCTTTCTGAACTGCCAGGTACTGCCCCAAAGGCCAAAAAAAAAAAACCCACTATCTTAGGTTCAAAAAAAAAAAAGGAATTAGGATCTGAGAAATAGTACTGCAGGTAAGGTACTTGCCTTGTGTGTAGCTGAGCCTGCTTCAAAACCTGGCACCACATAGGGTACCTGAAGCACTATTAGGAGTGATCTCTGAGCACAGAGCCAGGAGGAAGCCCCAAAACCAAACAAAAATATACCAATGGGTATCACAAATCACAAATCATCCTGTTATTCGTCGATTGCCTCGAGCAGGCCCCAGTAACGTCTCCTTCATCCTAGCCCTGAGATTATATTCAAGGCTCTTTAGGAGAATGAGACCCATCATTGTTACTGGTATTTGGTATATTGGCTACGCCACGGGGAGTTTGCCAGACTCTGCCTTGTGGGCAGGCTACATTCGGTAGCCTGCCAGTTTGTCCTTCTCACCAATGGGTATAATAAAATAAATTCTCCCTTTAGTGATTCTCAGCCACCCTATTTGCTTCCCTTATCTCCCCACCTCGACTCCACAGGAAACTAGTATGAGATGTATGACATGGAACCCTGAGCCTCATATATAAAGAACATGCAGTCTCCCACTGAGTTTCCCCCACCATTGCAGGGGTTTTTTTTGTTTGTTTGTTTTTTGGTTTCTATTTTGCTTTTTGGGTGTTCTGGGTGTTCCTTCCCGGAGTCCCTTGGAGGGGAGCGGGTTGAGCTTTCCTCCCCGCCCCGACCAGGGCTACGGCAGCCGAAGACCTCCAGGACCAGCCACCACCATGCTGAGACCACTCTCCGCACATCTGAAGGTACTGGCAGAGGGACAAAGCCACGCGGGTTCCGGGGCCGAGACCTCCAAGCCTACTCGATTTGGAGTCGAGCATCTTCCACCCAGATCCTCCAAATTCCAGTAGGCGGGGGTCACACCCACCACCTGGCCCCCTGGCGCCGTGTAATCCCATCAGCGGCCAAGACTCAGAGACTATAAAATCCAGATCCCAGAACCGCGCGGCCGCATTCACGGCCGCGCGACATCTTATTATCTCATTCCTACTTTGGACAAACTTGCAGGCTATCGAATGTAGCCTGCCCACAGGGCAGAGTCTGGCAAACTCCCCGTGGCCTACCAAATATGCCAAATACCAGTAACAATGATGGGTCTCATTCTCCTAAAGAGCCGTGAATATAATCTCAGGGCTAGGATGAAAGAGACGTTACTGGGGCCTGCTCGAGGCAATCGACGATTAACAGGATGATGAAATGAAATGAAAAATTTTGCTTTTTGGGTCACACCAGCATTGCTCAAGGGTTACGCCTGGCAGGGCTCAGGGGACGAACCACCATTTGACCCAGGGATCAAATCTGGGTCAGCCTTGGGCACAAGTGCCTTCCCCACTGTACTGTCTCTCTGACCAAGCTTCAGGGTTCATTTGTTTGTTTTGTTTTGTTTTTTTGGACACACCCTGAAGTGCTCAGGGCTTACTACCAGCTTTGCACTCAGGAATTATTCTTAGCAGTGCTCCAGGGCACGATATGGGTAATTGAACCCAAATCTGCCAGGTGCAAGGCAAATGCCCTACCTGCTATACTATCACTCAAGCCCCCACTTCTTTTACAGCATTGTGTTACAGCACAGTGTATTACAGTGTAAAGGAAGAAATTAAAGGGGTGGGGCTGGACCGATAGCACAGCGGGTAGGCCAACCCGGGTTCGAATCCTGGCATCCCATATGGTTCCCTGAGCACCGCCAGGAGTAATTCCTGAGTGCAGAGCCAGGAGTAACCCCTGAGCATCGCCGGGTGTGACCCAAAAAACAAAAAAAATAAGGAACTAAAGGGGTTAAGTAAAACTGATCAAAGGTCACCAATCTGGGAAACAGTCAAACTGACTTAAACCCATGTTCACACAGCACCTGCCTTCCATTTTAGAGAGAGAAGGAAGAGCAAACAGATCAAGATACCTAAAATTAGGGGGCAGGAGTGACAGTACAGCATATAGGGCACCTGTCTTGCACGTGGACCCTGTTCTATCTCTGTATCCCATATGGTCCTCCAAGCATTGCCAGGAGTAATTCCTGATAGTGAGGGGTGCATATCAGCTACAAAGCACAGACAAAGCCACACAGCCATGCTCCCCAGGCACCTGACTGCGGCCAACACTATATGGCCAGCTCACTCCTAAATGCAGACAATTCTATAGACAAGGAAACTGTAACACAAAGCTTTGAGCTTGCCTATGGGTGCCATAAAATGACATAAGAGTGGGAAGGCACTTGTGTTCTGGGCCTGCATTCTAGGTTTCTTCCCCAGTCTGTGATTACCTCTTAGTAAAATAGGTGACATGGTGCAGGGGAGAGGGCTCAAAGGACAAATGTTTTGCGGGCAGGAGCCCTGTGTTCAGTCTCCTGCACTGAATGCTCCTATGGGAATCTGGGAGTGATCCCTCCCTGTCAGATGTGTAACACACCCCTTCCCACAGAAAAAAAGGAGGTAATGTGGCCCAGAGAGTCATCCTTTAGCTCACTGATGATTGTTACTGCTTAAACCAACTTCTTTTAAGTCAAAATAATTATGAGGTTTGAAGAGACAGTAAATTGAGTAGGGTGCTTTCCTTGCATGCAGTCAGCCTGGGTTTGTTCTCTGGCACCTCACATGATCTCCCAAGCTCTGCCAGGAGTGACCCCTGAGCACAGAGGCAGGAGTAAGCCCTGAGCACCACCAGGTGTAGCCCCTAAAACAAAGCAAATTAAGATGAATGACTGAATTATTTGGTTCAGGGGGGCCACACCTGGCAGTACTAGGGACTACTCCCAGCCAGCTTTGTACTCAGGGGTTGCTCCCAGCAGTGTCCAGGGAACCATGCGGTGCTTGGAGATTGAGCCCAGTCCTCTGGCATGCAAAGCACGCGCCCCAGCCTGTTAGCCATCTCTCCAGCCTTAAACCAACTTCTACCTGAGAGCAGCATTTCTCAAAAGAGGTAGGAGGTTGAGTGACATAAGAGGGAACATGTTCATCTCAGGACATATTTTCAGAAAAAAATGGCATGACTGCATGAGACACAAGTCTGAAAGCACAGATGACCATTAGATTTCAATCAGAAATGGAAGGTAAAGTCTGATTAGAAAGAATGTCTTAGCAGTTAAAGCTACCGAGAATTCTATACTAAAAGGAACACAAGAGAAGACCGTAAGACAAAAGTGGGGGCCGGAGTGGTAGTACAGTGGAGAAGGCATTTGCCCTGCATGTGGCCAACCGAGGTTCGATCCCCCGGCAACCCATATGGTCTCCTGAGCACCACCAGGAGTAATTCCTGAGTGCAGAGTCATGAGTAACCTCTGAGTATCTCCAGGTGTGAGCCAAAAATCAAAAAAAAAAAAAAAAAGAGACAAAAGTAATACGACCTAATTTGGTTTCTGAATGCTTGAGTGTCTTCTGGATTAAGGTGCTTACCCAGGACTTCAGTGATAAAATAATATATCAAACTAGAGCTTGCGTGGCTTAAG